GGTCTTTGTGGACAGATTGTCTAAGTCTGTCCACTTTCTTTCAGTAAGGGTGAGCACATGTTTGTGAAACTTTCACTATCACTGGTGTTGTGCGGGAACTCGGAGTGAGGAAACTGAGCCCGTGATTCTTTGGGCCATACTAGTTACGTGGTAGAATAGGACGTGTTGTCTACCGGTTTTCCTTATCTCTGAACCTGACCAACACTCACGACGTGTTTTACGTGTCTCGACTTTGCAAGTTTGTAGCGAATCCTTCGCACGTGGTGCAACCGAATGTTGTGGAGGTTCGGGAGAACTTGAAAACTCTCGTCGGACCACTCAAATTTCTCGATCGTGGCGAGAAGCAGCAAAGGAGCGAGATCGTTTCGATGGTCAGAGAACGTTGAACAGGAAGAATTTCTGAAGGGAAATTCTGGAAGCGAGAGGACGAACTTCTCCGACAGTATCCCGCGCTTCGGGACATGTATGTTTTCTGATTTTGAGGACAAAATCCTAAAAAGGTGGGGTGAATGTAAGAACCCGCACCGTTAATTAAGGAATTTAATTAATTAATATTGAGAAAATAGGAAATGATTTCATAATTGACCCTAATAATTATTATGAGGCTTAAATAAATATAGTAAGAGGTTAATAATGCTGAAAGTCGCTTTTCGGAAGAAAAGTGCAGATACCGGTTCTGCTAGTCGGTATAAATGCGTACTAAAAAAGTATCCCGGAAAATTATAATGAGTGCATGACAATTACTAGAATATTATATAGGACTTGTAAAATGAGTTCAAGTTAAAATAATGAGAACTGGTGTCAGAACTGATACTGGCTATGGAAAAGCGCCTACCGGAAAGGTGCTCAGAAAAATATGATAAAAATATGATAATTCTTGTAAAATTGAGTAGGTTAAGAATCTTAAGTTTGGGATTAAAATACTAAGCGTAGCTATTTTTGCTTATACTGTGTGAATTAACTTATTGTGCCTATAAATAGGCTTGTCACAAAAACTTAGGCTGATTTGGTTGCCTTTCTACGTGAGTATTTTGTGTCTTTCAGCAGCCTTTGTGCCTCCTCCATTGTCACCCTCATTGTCTTCACTTAAAACCTCCAAGTTATCACCTTTGCTCCTTGTTCCTTCACCATTTTAGTGAGGGTGAGTGAGAGCAAGCTTGTGAGTGAGTGTGGTCTCACTTTTTGAGTGTGTGAGGTTGTTGTTTGGGGTTCTAAGGAGCTGTGTTTCTGAGTTGTGTGAGTGAGGCCTTTGTCTTGCCATTTTGAGCTCCAAGTTGTGAGCTTTGTGGAGAAAGACACCATCTTGAGGTGTCAAATTCGTGGACCCTTGAGTGCTGTGTTGAGGGACTGTGTTGGTAGCTCCAAGGAGGAGTCTTTTTCTGAGTTTTCGGAGTTGAGGTATACCATGATCATAGCCTTTGTCATTTTGAGGGTTTAAGCTTGTTTAATCCATTAAAAAGAGGAACTTTAACCATTTGAGTAAAGGAAGGTGTTTTTGGGTTCATAACATGTTGGTGACCATCTGTTTAGGGAGTCATTGGACTCTCAATCGCTTTTGGACCTTTAAATTGGGATTATGCAGAAGTTGGCTAGAATTTCTGCATTTTGTCGAGTGAGTATTCGAATACTTTTCGTGTAGTATTCGAATACTTGTTCATGGTAGTCGAATACTCCTTGCTGGAGTATTGAAATACTTTTCTGGGAAGAAAAGTATTCGGATACCTTTGAAGAAGTATTCGAATACTGGAAAGTATTTGAATACAGTGAGGTTGGGTATTCGAACACTGAGGTATTCGGATACTGGGGGGAGAAGTATTCAGATACTTTAATGAAAGTAGTCGAATACTTTCTGGAGAGCTGGAGTATTCGAATACTACTCGTGGAGTATTCGAATACTTCCTGCAGAAACAACATATAATGAGTTAAAATGAGTAAGAAAGACCTAATCACTTAATGTAATCTGAGCTATGATTATTGATGATTAATTATGGCATAGGCAGATTATGATTGTGCTGTTTGTGGGCCTTGAGCTTGTGTGGACTCTTGGCATTGGATAATAGCTTGCAAGGTAAGCTTTCGTGTCCTCGGTTTAGCCATTGTTTGGTTCCACCATGTCCCATGGGGGGATGATTATATGCATGATGTGTTTTCATATACTGTTTTATTGAAATGCTATAGAGCTGTTAAGTGCAATTGCTGTATGATATTTATGTGGTGTTTACCTTAAAGGGAAGCCATGGGTGGTCCTTTGGGGGTGGGTACAGCATGGGTTGATACAGCATGGGCTGGTACTGTGTGGGTAATAGACGTATTCCTGCATTTATCTGATCAGTAGAATAGTATAACCCACATGACATGATTATTTGCTGCATTGCACTATTTTGGAAATTATATTGCTAAATTGCTTTCGAACTTATATTGCACATGTAAGTGAGCTTGGGGTGGAAGATCCTTGAGGACCCCTTGTCTTACTGAGATTTCTGGTTTAGAGATCTCACCCCACGTTTGGGGAATGCTTATTTCAGGTTCAGGTAATGCTGAGACCTCAGGCGGCAGGAGGCCGGAGCTGAGTTAGATTTTGCTGTTATATTATGCTGACATGTTGGATGCTGGACATGCCTTTTGATGTTATGCTTTCAGTTTCATCTATGTTTATGGAGTATTATGTTGAGACTTTGTTGGTTACACTGTTTATTTGGTGAGCATGGGGAGTGTCCATGACACATAGTCTTGTTTATGTCTTGTTTTATTTGGAGTTGTAATAATGTATCAGGATGTTGTCCGGTTTACGTGATGTAATGCCGTGACTTAGAGACTCACTTTAATTATATTTTGAGGTATTTCAGTTAGCTGTCTTATTGCAATTTACATACAGGCGATGTTTTTATGAAATGGATTAAGTAACCAACTTGGCTAAGTATTATGACTTCATAATTGAAAAGAAAAAGATATTCCGCATTTTTAATTAAGCGCAGCTTAATACGATGTAATGTTAACAAACCGGGTATATACGGGGTGTTACAAAAACAATCCCAAACATTGGGATTTGGTACTACCACAGGCAGAATTTGCCTAGAACAGGTCCCAGCACCGCACTACTGGCAAGAGTCCTTTTGAGATTGTCTATGGGCATTCTCCAATTACACCAGTAGAACTATCACCTTTGCCAATTCGGAAATATTTTAGCTCCGATGCAGAGGAACATGCTAAGCACATCAAGGAACTCCACTCTCAAGTTCACAGTCAAATTCAGAAACAGAATGAGAAATACAAGCAACGGGTAGACAAGCATAGGAAGCAATTGATCTTCAAGGAAGGAGATCTAGTATGGATTCACTTGCGCAAAGAACGTTTTCCTGCCAAACGCTCTGGCAAGTTGCAACTCCAAGCTGATGGTCCTTTTAGAATCCTTGAGAAAATCAAAGACAATGCATATAAGGTTGAGTTACCAGGGCAGTATAATGTGGCTGGCACTTTTAATGTTGCAGATTTATCCCCATACTGTGCTGAAGATGAAGGTGACATGGCAGATGAAGACAACGTAGATTCGAGGACGAATCTTCTCTTAGTAGGGGAGGATGATACACTTGAGTCACCATAAGCCATCATAGTTGTCATTTAGAAGGGTTTTAAGACTTTTTATGAATTTTAATAATTGCAGACGTTTCAGTTTCCATGACTTTATGTTTGGTTTATGATTATTTCTGTTTTGAGTCAGTTTTATTTCTGTTTTGTGTCAATTTTAAGACCATTAATAGTTCTTTATTGTTGTTTACTTTCTGTATTGCCTGATTAAAAAGGCTTGTAGAAGGATGTGAAAGGAGAGACTTTTGATTGTTGAAGAATAATAATATAGCATAACACTTCTGATTTTTTCTAAAAGCCTATTTTTCCTATAATTCTGCATCAGGTATACTATTGAGCTTGTAAACTCATCATTTCTTCTCTTATCCATGTTCATCGTTATCATCATCATCTGCGGTATCCTAGCACTAGAAATTCTTTTCAAATTTTTAGTAGTTGTAAACATAACCCTTCATTATGCAAATTGTATCATCTGATCAATTTGTTTTTCATGCAAAAAGAAAAAACGCTCCATTAAATAATACAATTACATTAGCGTATTGTTGACAAATGTTACATTTACTGTTGACTTTTTCTCCAAAGTCCAGATAGCGCTAATATTATTATCAATTTGGGCAACAGCAAGTGGGGAAAAAATTCACCAATAAATTAAAGTTGAGAATGATTTCTTTGTAGCAAAATATTGGACCGTTTGGCTGAAAGCCTTTAATTTGGTTTCAAGGTTTTAGTGATGTGAATTATTGATTTGTTATATTTGGAATAAGACACTGGTATAACCTAATTCACAGTTCAGAATTATTGCAAATCAAATCAAATCCTATTTTATTATTTAATTCAATTTTTTTTTTTTGGCATCCTAATTCATTTTTAAACTATGATATCTTTAATCTCAAACTTTTAAGTTCTAACATTATATCACTAAAAAGTTAATGATAAAAACTCTATTCATCTCTTAGCTGTATTATTTTAGAGAATAACATCTGTCATTTTAAAAGATGTAAACTTATATTATTTTAGATCGTAATCGTTGATTTCTGTCCATCAACGGTTATAATTTATTGGATCAAAATTATTAATTAATTAATAATAAATTTGACCCATTAAATTTGATCCAATAGATTATAACCATTTATGGACGGAAATTAACGATTAAGATCTAAAATAATATAAAGTTATATCCTCTAAAAAAATATGTTTTTCCCATCATTTTAATCTCTTATAATTAATTTTTACAATTTAGTTACTCATTCACAAAAAAGAACTATATCAATTAAATCTTCAATTCATTATGCGAATTCAATACAAATGTTAATTATGGACGGGTTTAAATCAAAAGAAAAAAATTAGTTACTAACAAAACAAGTTTTTTTTTTTTTTTAATTACTAACAAACATAATTTTATATACACAGTCTCTCTCATGAGAGAGAGAGAGAGAGATGAGTTTTGTGAGTTACATTGCACAATGGAGAAGCGTAGCGAAGAAAGTGTTGGATCGCACAGGCAAAGCCGTGAAGTTCATATCCGGTGTTCACTTCACTTACTACTACCTCTTCTCCCCAGTTGTGGCATTCCATACAAAGATTCTTGCTTTATTCTTCCTCTTGGTGATTTTTCAATACCCTTTTAACTCAATTGGTGAATCCTCTGCTTGCAGGGATATGGGGATAGCATGCTCCCCACCTTCACTTCCGGCGACGTCGTTCTCGTTGAAAAAATCTCTCCGAGAGTCGGGAACCTCCGTCATGGAGACGTGGTTTCTCTTTTGTCCCATTTGGATCCTAATAAGCACCTTGGGAAGCGCATCGTGGCCATGGAAGGGGACACTGTCACTTACTTTGATCCTTTGCACGCTGATGCTACTAAAACTGTAGTGGTGTGTGTGCTTAATGGTTTTTTTTCTTGTTTTGCTCTTATTGCAAAATTAATTCCTTTTTTTTTGTCTTGATTATATTTTTTGTGGTACATGATTGTGAAAATATGCCTACTTGATAGCTTTTTCATGTTAGATAAGAAAATATGAAAATTAAACTTATTGCGAAATTATTATTATTTTTCCTGAATATAGATGGAATGTTTTTAGTGTATGAGTAAATAATTGGGAAAAAGTACTCACTTGATTGTTCTATCTTTTTTAATTTTATGTTTTATCAACAGATTACTCGTATATTATGTCCCATTTAGACTCATTTTCTATGAAAGAATATGCTGAACGAAAAGAATGATTAGAGCAATTTCCTACTTCCACATATATAGAATAGAAGGTACAGTTTCATATCAGGTTTTTTCATATTAGGTAATTTGTAAGGTGCCACATAGCGGCCCCGTTTATTATTTCAAATTAGTCTTGATGGTATGCATTTGTCTGTTTTGCCCACTTTGTCATCCTCATCATTTTTTGGTAACAGTTGTAGTAAAAGATGAGTTATTTGCTTATAATGACTGGTTTTGTTACTTGAAATTTGACTATGCTTTCAGCTAGTATGATTATTTATTTCTCTTAAACTAATTCTTAGAATGTAATCTTTTTTAGAATGCAATACTTAATTACTTGTGTTTACTATGATCCATGTCATTTTGATCAGAGTATCATTCCAATCCGTTTCCCTTTGCTGAATTTTAACACATTCTAAAATCACTCTCTATTGAACCCCAATTAGTGATGGTATAAGTGAAGACAATTCTTGTATGTAGCCTTATCCTTGCATTGCAAAAATGCTATTTTCCGGATTCGAACCTGTGGCCTTTCAATTACAAAAGAGCAATTTTATCACTGCTTTAGGCTCATCCTCTTAGTTCTAACACATTATAATTTATTATTAAATTTTTATAAAAAAATTAGCTATTAACTTTGTTATCTTATATTTTCCCGTGCTCTCTCTTAGTTCTAACACATTATAATTTATTATTAAATTTTTTTATAAAAAAATTAGCTATTAACTTTGTTATCTTATATTTTCCCGTGCTCTCTTTCTCTCCTTCTTTCTCTGCTTGGAATTTATCTTTTGCAGGTTTCTTAGCTTTCTCTCCATTCATTAATTATTATTATTATTATTATTATTATTATTATTATTGGTGCTGCTCAACTTATTATATCTTTTATCCGTAGGTGCCAAAGGGGCATGTTTGGATTGAAGGTGATAACACACGAGAATCCTTTGATTCACGGGCTTTTGGTCCTGTTCCATATGGTCTTATAAATGGAAAATATTTTTTACGGGTAACTGTTGTGCCTCATATTATATTCTTCTGTTTTTTAAGTATTGGTTCATTAGATTTCTCATCTTCATGTAGTTCAATACTATTTCTCATTAAGAACTTAAGAGTGAGATAGGATTGTAATGGTACTGTTATATTAATATATTACTATTGATTCTAATACATGTATTTGGAAACATCTACTGATTCTATAATTATAAGGCTAATGCATAAGGCAACTGCAGATATTCGTTGCTGATTCATGCTTTAGTTTTACTAATATTCTTGCTTTTATATGGATTTTGTCCACCCCAATTAGTAGGGATAAATGTGATGTTGATGTTGATTTCTTAATTGAAAAAAGTTCATCTTAGTTAAACACTTGTGCAAAATAGTTCTATTTGATGATTTGCAATCTTGTATTAAAGATATTTCGAATGCCGTATGTTATTAGGTTTGGCCACTCAACAGCTTTGGACTGGTAGAAAAAAAAAGATATTTTAAATAAGGTACTGTACTTTCAATTCTGTGTTTTTTCTGCTTTTGCCTTTTGCTTAAAACACTTATTCCAGACTCGAAATGGACATTATAAGCTAGACTATAGAATATTAGTGTATTATTTGAATTAATGCTTAATTATTAGATTTAAAATTTCCGGATTTTATGCCTATGAATGCGTATATTGGGATGTTTAAATTCTCTACGTCTCTTTTCATTATGTAAGGCAACACATTTTTTGCAAATATAAAGACTGGATTGGTGTGGTTATGGAATTTGGTGTGAACAAAACATCATTTTACGTCATTTTTTCCTCTCTCTTTCCATCAAAGGCTATGAATAATCATATGGGTTAACGGACAATTGCTTTTTTAAAAATAAAATAAAAATAATAAGGTTGAGTCTGTAATCTACAAAACATGAAATCTGATTATCGAATATCAGGTGATTGTAATTCAGAGGAAAAAGGGACATATATGAAAACTTATCCGAACAGAAGCAGTATTCTTATAAGATATCTCAATTTGCATGACATGTTGAAAGGTGTGATAATCTAGCTACTTTTTAAATCATAACATTGCTTGGCTGGCATAAAAACCAATGCCGTATATAATCTCGGTTAACAACTCAGCAACCCAAATTTTTTTATAAAGGAATCTAGTCCACCCAGTTGATGCTTTTTTATCTGCAGTACATGCATAGAGAATTTCCACATCCTTCTATGAAGGCATACTATTGGTACTAATTTCTAGTCCAAGTGCTAATTATTGTCTGCTTGGGCCACTTGAGAGGAACCAAAATTGCACATATGCAATGATTCCCTTGTTTATATGGGTATTGGAATAATTTCTTGTGTTTTTATCTATTTTTGAGTTATGGAGGTTGACATCTTTCGTTTGACAATTGAACAGTGCTTATGGTCAGTCATCCTGTGAAATGTATTAAATTGTACTTGTATGGAGCTTCAGTGATTTTCATGAAGGTGGCTGTTTGCAAGGGAAACATCTGTAGAAGGAGCATGGTCCCTATTGGCAACATAGGGCACATGTTGTGGGATGTGAATAATGTGCTGTAAAAGAACAGGGCGAGCACTTATATGCACAATAATTGGTTAGGAATCAAGCATTTTACTCATTGTTGTTTTATATAATAAAATTATATGCAGGGTAGGCATTTTTTGTTTTTCCTTTTCCCAGTATCAATTCATACCCTGAAAATTATAGACTTGAGATTCAAAGAAGTACTTAATCTATTTTTGTCTTTCAGTAAGATTATTTCATTTGTCAGGCTGAATGTTGTTTATATGATTTAAGATCATATTGATTTGTAGCGGCGAATGTAAGCTCTGGCAATGAGGGTTGTCATGGCCTAACTCTATTAAGGTGAAGGTTTATGAAGAATTTTATATATCTAACATATTTCCCAATGCAAGAGTAGTATGGAAAATGCATAAGCTCATTTTATCTTGTATTAAGATAATAATTATTTTGTGTAGAAGATTGAGGGGATGGTGGGTAGCAGAGGATCTAACTCTAGTGATAGAGGTTGTGGTACCGCGTGAGAGGAGTTTTGGATTTTAGAAAACTCATAAGCAAAATAGTGAAGCAATGAGACAAGGTCAAGGCAGATGTTATTACTATTACTTTATTAAAGACTAACACTTATATTGTTAGTGAGGGTTTACAAATGTTTATATATAATTTTGGTATACTATGTCGGGGATCAAGGGCCTTTGAGAGAACTGGGCGTAGCCGCAGATGGATTAGGAAGAATAATCCTTACTTGTGCTTGCCAATTGAGATGCCTACTAACCAATATTAAAGTTCATTTGGCAACTCTTAATCCCTACTTATCAAGTTTTACTTATTCCAACGTTTCTTTCATTTATGTTTATCAGCTTTTGTTTTGTATCCCAGCTTCTTTTTTTCATGTGCCATTGGTTTTTGTTGTTAAGAGTACCCTTCTTACCTTCAATAATGGGTTGATGATAACCATTCACGATGCTCCTATTTCCTTTCAAAATCCTTCATCTGCTTGGTCGTCTTGATTGGCAGAAAACAAAAATAGAAAAAGGAGTCTGAGTGCCAGAAATCATGATTCATATGGTCAACAACTACGGAAAGTGTTTGTGTTGAAAGGAATTCATTCAAAAATTAATTGATCAAATCACAAAGGTCGGCAAAAACCCATTATAGAAAAAATTAATTTTAGTTAATTATTGACATGGATATCGTTCTCTTGGCACAACTATGATTTTTGAAGCAATTTGGTTTGTTTACTGTTTGCTTGATCTAACATTTGCAATAAGGCATTTGTTTCATTCATGGTGAATACCAGACACATTTAGGCACGCACATATTTTTGATCAAATTTTACTTCTATCTTATTTCTTGTAAGTTGTATCAAATTGAGAGCCTAAATATTCATAGCATAATACTTATAAAACAAAAGATATGTTGTAGGCTAACTTAATGCAAGCTATTTCATACCCTCATATTTTGTTAAACAAGAATTCATTTTTGGTAGAAGTAATTTTTGCTATGAAAAAAAATGATGTAACAATCACCCTTGGAATTGGTCCAAACCGTATAACAGAATTCTTGCCTACATAAAAATGTCAAACTAGTGATAAAAAAAAATAAATTAAAATAAAATACAAATTGAAGTCTGCAGAGGATGAGCAACGATATATACAAGAAACCAGGAGACATGAAGTTAAGAAGAGCTGAAACACTCTTGACAATCTTCAGCATTCCACTCTTAGCAATATGGATTGATCTGATCAGGATATTTGTATGGACACCAGAGAAATCTTCTCAATTTATCTGTCAATGTAAAAATTTGAAAATTTTCCCTCAAAATAAAATTGCAAAACCCAAAAAAAGAAAAGAAACTACCGCTTGTTGGGAAGATTATAGTCATAGATATCTAAATATTAAAGAATTAATTAACTGAGATTAGAACTTGTAAAAGGGTTTTCTTAGTAAGCAAATACAATCAACCAAGTAACACCTGTTAGCCTGTCTAAACCTATTAAATATTCAACAATTAAATGAATAAATAAAATAATATTATTTTATTATTCAAAATTATTAAATAATAACTTTATTTATTATATTTTAAATAAATATTATGATATAAGCCGTCCTGTAGACTTATAGGCCCGACATGTACAAAAAAAGCCTATGGCCTGTTTTCTAAATAGGATTTTTTAAAAACCTAGGCCTATTCTATTTTACTACTTATAATAAGTCAAGTATGACCTAATATAGGCTAGACCATAGGTCCCTGTAGGCCGACCTAACTCATTTACACCCCTAAATATATGTCAACAAGTTTGAGAGATTGGGGACGTCTTCGGCAGTTGTATTTATTTATTTTTGGCCAAAGACTACTAAGATTTGGAAAAATCTTTCTACGCCACTATTCACTTGTGAATCCAATTTTTTTAAATTAATTTTTTTCATTTATGAATTGAGAAATGTGATTTAAAAGTCTTGTAATTAAAATCGGGAAAAGCTAATAATAAAAAAGTAGTATTATAAAAAGTGTAATAGTTTAGGCCTGTTACCTTAAAGAATCATCGTACGGTTATGTTTCTGATGTGAGCAATTTTGGGCCAATCTTCTCCAGTTTCAATTTGGCATCTCTCAAGAAGTAGGGGACATCCGCTGATACTCAGAGTCTGTAAATTGGTGAGGCGACACATGCCTTCTGGCAATGACTCTAAATTATAGCAATTATGAATCCAAATTTCTTTAAGTGATTGGAGGTCGCAGATTCTCTCGGGCAAAGCATTCAGATTGTCACAATATGCTATAAGTATCTTTTGTAGAGAACGAAGGCCGTGAGGGACTTGGCATTGTGTGCTAATGTCATCTTCACCTTTCCACACATCAAGCTTGTCGACAAAAAGAATTTCCAGTACCCGAAGTTCAGCAGGAAGATGTTGCAACTGTTGAAACAATGGCGCATTATTTGGTATTCCCCCAATAGAAAAGTACTCGAGAGAGGTGAGACTTTTCATCCACTCCTCTGGCATTGCTTCTATCTCCATTCTGAAAAACTCCAAGCGCTTGAGGCCAGAATGAGGATTGAAGGATGAAGAGTGAAGTTGAACCAAACATGTTTCAATCATTGAGTTCACGCTACAAGAATTTAAGGTCAAGTGAACAACGTGCGGATAAGGAGGCATGCAAGTCAAGTTTGGACAAGACAAAATATGCAAATTGGAAATACGAGGAAAAGGAGGCAGCAAATGATGGTTGTCAATATCATTTGGCAACCTTTTCCATCCCCTCAGTTTCTCGCAATTCAAGAGGATGAGTTCCTCCAAAGACGGGAAAAACACATGAGAAATCTCTTCATAATGAATGTACTCCAGTTCATCAAAGTCAAAAATATGGACACTCTTCAGCCAAGGAAGTCTTTCCAACGGTGGGAGATATTGGCAATTGGGGAAACCACGAAGGAAGATATGAACAATATTAGTGAGTGATGGAAGCCAACTTGAAAACCTCACTCCTGGATACCCATTCACATTCAATTCTCTCAGATTCTGATGAGGGCAAAGGTTATCCAATAACTGCAAGCTGATGTCACTGTTTTGGTTATATCCTTCCCATTCAAGATTCAAGATTTGAATGTATTCCTTTGCTTTTAGGTTTGCTTCCTGTGACTCCGACGCCACATCTTTTACTGAATTCAGATTACGAATTCTCAAATGACCTGTTAAGTTATTCAGCTCCTTCAATTCATTTAGTTTCCCACAATTCCTCTTCTCAGCATAACCCACTTTAAAACTTGATAAGGACTGCAGCGAAGTCAATTGCCCTAATCCGACTGGCATGTCCTCGAAGGCTTTACATTCTTCGATCTCAAGGTGTCTCAAACTAATCAACTTCGTGACAATTTCTGTACTAAACATAAGTTCCTCGCACCCACCCAAATTCAGAGATTGTAAGCCAACAAGATTGCCAATAGACTTGGGCAAACTAATTAGATCTTTACAATTGGACAGGTTCAGAGATCTTAAATGCTTGCATTTATCAATTGACTCTGGCAGCTTAGTTATAGAAGAATATGACAAATTCAAAACACGCAGGTACTTCAGGTTGGTGATGATAGATGGTGTAGTAAAATATCCAACTTGAGTTTTGCGACAAAGAAGGGTTCGCAGTTTACTTACATCGGATGAATCTAATGAACACATGGTACTAGACAGAAAAGAGAGGTGCATGGGTCTACCAACAATTTGTTTCCCCTCACTATGCAGGTAGCAATCATTTCCAGCCACGGACTTTGCAAGATCATGCATCAAATCATGCATTTTGAAGGAAATTATATCATTGTATTTGCTCAATGACACATCTTGAAAAAATGACCTCATCAACAAAATCTTGACGTAATTATTGCCCACCTCTTCCATAGATTGCGTTTTAATAGGACTTGCAAGGTATCCTTGAGCCATCCATGATTGAATCAGTTCATCCTTTTTAATTATCCAATCTTTAGGATACAAACAACAATAAGCAAAACATTGTCTCAATTCAAGTGGTAAGTTTTGATAACTCAACTTTAGCACTGGCATCATACTCTGCTTTTCTTCACACAGACTCCAAACATCACCATTTAAAATACTTAGCCATTGATCACCTCCTTCATTTATAGTGTGTAAGAAGCCTCCGATTGTTCTGATTGCTAGCGGAACTCCACAACACTTTTCTGCAATTTTTTCACCAATTGATTCAAGATTTGGGTTCATTCCGCTGGTATCTTCACCAAATGTCAAGTTCTTTAACAAAGTCCATGATTGCTCTTTTGTCAAACCTTCCAAAACATACGGGGTGTCTATACCCATTGCTTTTGAGACCATGGTACTACGTGTTGTCACTAATATCTTACTACCTTGACCTCCATGCATCAAATGAGTTCTTAAAACATTCCACTTCAGCTGACTTTCATTCCACACATCATCAAGTACAAGCATGTACCTTGGCCCATTTAATTCTTCATGAAGCTTCTTTTGTAGGATGTCCACTTCTAAGTCACCAACTTCATCTTTTTTCAAAGATTTCAACATTTTTTTCAAAACAGTTTTTACTTCAAAGTCTTCGGAAACACACACCCATATCCGTTTGTCAAATAGCTCCTGAACTTGAGAATCATTGTACACCAATTGAGCAAGAGCTGTCTTGCCTAGACCCCCAATACCAACAATAGCAATCAAAGAAACATTATCATTGGTATTAGTTTGCATCAGCAAGTCAATAATCTCATTTTTGTTTTCTTCCCTGCCTATTATGTCCGATTGCAAAACAAAAGAACCCGTTTCCCTCCATGCATTCTCATTTTGTTTAAGAATTACCAAACTTGAGTTTAGTTTCAACTTGGATATATCTTCAGCAACATCACTGAATTGCTTTTGAATCTTCTCAATCTTACGAGCTAATTTAGAACGGAAAGCAAGTGGATTTTCGGATGAAAAGAAATCACGAACCTTACTCATCACTTTGCTATGATCGTTGACTTTGCGCCTCAGATCCTTAATCTCCAAGTCATCCAACAAGTTATCTGCATCATATAGAACTTCTTTGAGCCTTCTAATCCAGTGTTCAATAGCAGCATCCTTGTCTTGTCTCTGCTCAGCATCTGAGAGAACAACTTTGATAGATTCCAGTGTTCTCTTTAGATTCTCCAGGTCATCCATAACTCCATAAATCCGTCCAAATTCTTGCAAGGCTGGGGAAGCCAAACTGCCGATAATGTTTAGAATATCACCATACGGGCTTTGTTCAGCCATCCCTCAAATGGAAAGGAAATTTAGGATCATAACAAAGAACAAGCGATTGAAAGAAGGGATAATGTTGTAAGTTGCTGCAAACAAGTTAGATCAGTAACTGTAAGTACCCACTCAACGCAATAAGAAAAAGTGGCGCCTTCCACAGTCCGTACCCACCTAATGCAATCAGAAATAGCAACGCGAATAGACTAAGCAACTCTTTTAATAATAATAAATTTCCACACTCCGTACCCACCGAATGCAATCAGAAATAGCAACGCGAATAGACTAAGCAACTCTTTTAATAATAACAAATTTCCACAGTGGGATCGGGCTTTGGTGGTCTATATTATTCACATTTTTTGAAATCAGAAATAGCAACGCGAATAGACTAAGCAACTCTTTTAATCACATTTTTTAAATTTATTTTATGTTTATTTTTTTGAAAAATCTGTATAATAAAAAAATAATTAAATAAATATTATAAATCTCTAAGTAAGAAGGATTTTATTTTTGAAAACCATTCAGAAGCTATAATTTAAATGACTTTAAAGAAAAAAGTCATAAAACAGAAGGATGTAACTTATGATACCGTATGATTCAAGATACGAAAAATCAACCAAACGATACACAATACGAATTTCTGCTCAATAACATTGTACACTATTTTTTTTCAAACACTTGGTTTTGGTGTGTTTGGTGTTGATTCGGAAAGAACTAAGAGACTTTTAGGTTCAAACGCTCGTATAGTACCATTCTTGCAAATTTAAATTATGTTTGTGAGAAATAAAATATATCAAATGAGATGTCATTACGTAGATCTCGAAAAGTTATGTGGAATCAAAAAAAGAATTACCTGAATTGGATACCCGAGTCAAAAGTTATGGCCTTTAGAAGTTTTATGATTAAATTATTATTTTTTTTAGAGAGAGAAATGACACGTGTCAACACCTCATGAGAGACGCCCCATTGGGGCGTCTTCCCTTGGTGAGAGACGCCTAAATGAGGCGTCACATGTGACGCCCAAAAAAGGCGTCACATTGTGCAATAGATCTGTAAATACTTCCCAAACTGCAATAAATGCGTAATTATTTAATTAAATTACAATAAATAAATTCTTTTGCCATCAATCTTATGCTTCAGAAATTTTTTATAAAAGTGTCACAACATCAATCTCGCTACATCATAAGATAAGTTAGGATTGGCCACGTGACAACATCTGGTTGGCCACGTGACAGCATCCTTGTCACCGTATGCTAGGTGGCATAAAGCGCTGGGCTACGTGGCGTCTTACGTGGCGATTATTGGAACACTCAACGCATGGTAAACTAGCTGGGCTGAGCAGCTGGTTACGTGCATGTGTGACACGTGTCATTTAAATAAAATTAAATAACATTAATTTAACCCTCCTAAATTTAATTACTTAACTTTTACAAATAATTTAACTTAACATATTGCTAATTAAAACAAAATAATTAACAATCCAAAAAATAAGTAATTAACATTAATTTAATTTAGTTTAATTCTTTAACACTACTCAATTATATTAAATTTTTTAACCGTTACAAACAATTTCAATTAGCATAAATTAATTTAAATTAAATTAAATTAATATAGTTAACACTCCTAAAAATTATCAAATTATAATTGTAAAATAATTTAATTAAATTTATACTAATTTACACTACATTAATTAACGAACATAAAAATTTATTTACTCTACATTAATTAGTTATTTTTATGGGTGTTAACTAAAATAATTTAATGTAGTTTGTGTTATGTTAAAAATTTGTGAATTGTTACGTTACTTCATTTAATCAAGGATTGTTAATTAATGTAATATATTTTATGTTTGTTAATTCAGTGTAACGATTAATTATTTATGTTATAACTGTTAATTACTTATTTTTTGGATTGTTAAATTATTTTATTTTAATTAGCAATATGTTAAGTTAAATTATTTGTAAATGTTATGTAATTAAATGCACGTAACCAGCTGCTCAGCCCAGCTAATTTACAATAGTGCGACACGTGTCACACATACATTGAGTGTTTCAACAGTCGCCACGTAGCCCAGTGCTTTAGACCATGTGGCAGACGGTGGAAGGGGTTGTCTGCCACGTAATCTAGCTGCACTGCGCAGCTAGTTACGTGGCCAACCAGGTGTTGCCATGTGGCCAATCCTAACTCGCCACGTGGCGTAGCGAGATTGATGAGTGGCACTTTGGTAAAAAATTTCTGAGGCGTGGCATTCTGGTAATATTTTAGGTAAGCGGTGGCAATTTTGGCATGATATTTAGATATATTAATTCTAAAAATTATTAAATTTTAATATGTTAAAATACATTTTGATATTAAATGATATTTTTAATTTATATAGTGAATTATATTTAATATTAAATTAAATTTATAATAGCTATTAATTTTATAAAAAAAAATTCAAATATTTATATTAAACTCAATAAATAATAATCGTAATCCAATGAATCTAATAGTTGGAACTAAAAATAAAATGCAACACAATCTTTGAATCCTTTTTTGAGTCTTTGCAATGCGTATTGAAGTAACGGACACGACACATCAATTTTTTTTAAGTGTCAGTGTATCATAACGGATGACTTATGAAATCATGAGATCGATTCATACGACAAATACTTTGAAACTGGTGGTAAAAACATTGTAGCTCCAAATTGTGATTAATCTCATTTTATAAGATGAGGATGCCTTGAGTTTATTAAAAAAAAAAACGTGTATTGACCAAGCAAGTCTTTTATAATAAAAGGTTCCTCCCTCCTTATGCTTTTTCGGAACAGTGATCAAATGTCACTGTTCACTAACTTTTTTACCAAATACCATGCGAATAGTGTTATTTTTCAATATGTCACGCGGGCAAGTTCGCTATAGTGCTCAACGAACTTGATTTGCTGATGTGGCATGTTTCTGGTTGACAACAAGTTCGCTACTCCCAGTAGCGAACTACGTTGCAATTAATGCTGACACATTGGCAGGACACATGGAGAAGTTCGCTGCCACATGCAGCGAACTAAGTGTGCCATGTGTATGACATGCACCTAGTTCACTGAAGGTCCAAGCGAACTAGGTGCCACGAGGCACCTCCCTGACAGTTTGCTGCATGGGCCAGCGAACAAGGTGCCAAGTGGCAGCATCTGACCAAGTTTGTTGTACCCTGCAGCGAACTAGGTGCCACGTGGTAGCTCCCTGCTAGTTCGCTGGCCCAGCTGGCAACAGTTACAGTTCGCTGATATATATATATATATATATATATATATATATATATATATATATATATATATATATATAGCGAACTCAGTGCTATTTATACCCTCTCCCAACTCCCACCTTCATTTTGTTAATCTGGTGCATTTTTTTTTCCAAAGAACCCCAGTTTTTCTTCTTGTTTTTTGTAATTTGTATTCCATATTTCACAACATAATGAGTGAGAGTAGCAATGATTTAATCTCCTTTTAATATTACAATGGAGGAGATATTTTGGACCGAACGATCAAGTGTTTGAAGGAGATACGAAGATGTTCCGCATGAGCCCCCATTACAAATATAATGACCCGAAGAAAATAATAACAAGAAGTTGAGATTACAACGGGGTCAATCCCGCTCTCGACTGATTGCTAGATGCGCCTCTGGTAATCCGGTGCAGTGAGTTGTTGTGAAAGTTGTGGAGTATGAAGATATAGCGTTAGTAGTAGATGCATTTCAACAGAATGGAGAGTCCTCAAATATCGAATTGTATGCGAAACTAAATACTGGTGGAGAGGCAAGCACTCAACGTTTCGTCCCTTGTAGTTACTCCATAGACATTAACAGGGAACCACTAGTCAATCCGAAAGATATACATGTGTCACCCCACCGCTATCATCCCCACTTACAATGCCTTTAGAAGTGATTCCTGCCACATGACATGTATGATCCCACGTGGCGTACTAATAGTTTTGAGAAAGAGGTTGATGAAGGTCTTGTTCCTGATACTGACTCATCAGATACAGTAATATAAGTGAGTGATCAATCTGTTTCCAAAACAGTAATATTTTATTCAAATTTAAAACACATTCAACTATAATCGCGATATAATAATAATAATATACTAACCTCATGGTTGCACAGACGGGCAATGTGATAAAACCCAGCCTGCCTCAAGAACGAGTAGATGTCCTTAGGTATATCAAGGTGATCGTGTGTAGCGGCGTGTCTGACATTAAGCAAAGATCACGTACATTTGGGTCCTCGGATGTGTTCCACACATGAATGGAAATGTGTTTCTCCTGCAACGTGAGGAGAGAACGATTGGAAGGACCAGGGTCGATCACACTCTGGTGCAAGTAATACTACTCCAGGGATCTATTTATATAAAAAAAGTTATATTACAGTTACAACATTATAAATTACAATAAGATCATATATAAACATGGACGGTATCATAAGAGACGAAAACAATATTTTAAACATATCCTATTACCTAAGAGACCTAAAATCGTAATTATAATAAAAAAAAATTCTAACCTAAATTTTTTACCTAGAAATAAAAAATATCAAATAATTAATATTATTATATAATGCATAAATAAATAAATATTAAATACTAAGAAATAACAACATTAATATACATAGCTTCTAACCTACGGACTGAAAAAATTAATAATTCTTCTAACCTAAGTTGTCCACCTATAAATAAATAATATGACACAATTAATATTATTAAATACAAACTTTAACAACATAAAATAAAATTCTTCTAACCTAACTTTTCAACCTATAACTAAATAATATGGCCTAATTAATATTATTAAATAATGCATAATCAAAAAATTATTAAATACAAACTTTAACAACATTAATATAAAATTCTTCCAACCTAAGTTTTCAACCTATAACTAAATAATATGGCACAATTAATATTACTAAATAATGTATAATTAAAAAAAATTAAATACTAAATTTAACATCATTAATATAAAATTCTTATAACCTAATTTTTCTACCTATAA